CAGAAAAAAGGTAAAGAAGATATGGCAAAGTTACAAATGGTTATAAATTTAGGTTATGGCCACATGAATAGCATTACATGATTCTTTTTACATTTTGGTTTCTTTGGTGGTTTTCAAAGTGCGTCACGTACTAGAGATGCAACTTCTTGGGCCCCACCCTGGACCTACTGAATCAGGAACCCTGGTGGTAGAAAAGGATAGCAGTGCTTTACGAAGCCCACCAGGACATTCTGATACACTCTGGATCAAGTTTAAGCACTTTTGCCTTAGGACATGGTGCTGTTAGGGGAGAGTGGATGGCAGGGGAAAAACCCATCTGGCAGTGACAGATTACTGAGAAGAAATATAACATCAAAACTAGCCTGTGCTATGTAGACACAGGAGAAGTGGAGACAAGAAGCCAAGCTCAGTAAGCAAGGTACCAGCTGGGTCTGAGGCAGCAATGACCATGATGCAGGGCACCAGTCCAAGGGCCCAGACTGGCTGCCGTGGACCACACGGCCTAGCTGTATCTCCTCTTTGGTGGGAGTGTCTGGCGCTGCCACTGCAGTACCTACTGGTGCTCTTATTCTTTGAAAGACAGGCACTGCGACAGAGATTTATTCCTGCCCCTCACTATTGTGGAGTGTTGAGAGAGGGTGCTGTGTCGACCCTGGTCTGCTCAGTTTCAGAATGCTGTTCGTTCTACTTCCCGTTACCACGCTCTACGCGGATGTATCTTGGGATGTGCTTTGCTGGGCATCCAACACCATGTTCTGCTGCTGGAATGGACCTGCCCCAATACTTCCCCCACCTTAGAGAAAGAGAGCAATCATTCCTGGTCCATTTCACCCCATTTTGGTTAACCAGCCAATCCCAGGCTTACCTTGTGAACATTAGCTCATACTGGCCACAGATTATAATGTTTCATTTTATCTATTTTATTTTTTACAGTGTAAAAATTTTATATTTAGAATTTAGCTAGCTGGACTCAGTTTAGATGATTCCAATTTTGTTGGCAATGTCAAAAGCGTCATAGTTGGGAGTCAGGTGAACAAATGCCTTCTTGTCTCCATTGGGTCTGACCAGTTGTTGACCTCTGCCACCTCAATGTCACAGAACTTCTTCACAGCCTGTTCAATCTGGTGCTTTTTGACCTTGATCTCTACAATGAACACAAGTGTATTGTTGTCTTCTGTCTTCTTCATGGCTGACTTGGTGGTCAGGGGAACTTGACAATGGCATAGTAGTCAAGCTTGTTTCTCCTGGGACACTCCTCAGAGGATATTTAGGCTGTCCTTTTAGAGCTGCAGTGTCTCAAGTCATTGGAAGTGGGTGACATTGTCACCCACTTTTTGTGTGTGTGGCTATGGATGCCTTTCAGCACCGCTTTCTTTGCTTTCAAAGCCTGTGCTTTGGCTTTGGGAGAGGCAGGGGCTCCCTTCCCTGCTTTGGGCACCAACTTTGTGAAAAGGTTATAATGCTTCATTTTTAAAAAGCTTCACATATAAAATGTCACTAACAAACTTTTTTCTCTTTCCTGACTATTTATTTTATCTGGCATTCTCTAGAACAATAGAATTTCCCAAAATGTGTTTTTAAAAGATGGTGCATGTGAAAATGGTCTGTGGTTAAACAAACCTGGGAAATGCTAGGTTAATTACATTTAATCAAGTTTATTTTACGCATGACTTTTTGGAATCTCATCCATTAGAACTCATTGTGCATTTCCATATGGGGCAGTTACAGAACGAATCCTTTTGTAAACATCCCTGTCCACAGAATATATGCATAAAGATTATGGCTCAAGGCCCACGTTTTAGAAAATGAATCTTTAAAAATTAATGGGTAAAGTCTTGTGAAAAAAATGTATCTATAAATTAAGCATGCAGTGATTGAGGGCTTTCTTGAAGTTGTGGGAATGGAAATGTTATTTCTAGAGTTTACAGATACAAGCACACAGATAGTTTTAAACAATAGTAAATCCTCTCTGGCATGAGTCTTAATGATCTAAGTTTTCAGAATAACTCACCTTTGCAGAATTCCCGGACATCAACTGTCAGAGGCGAGCTGCCGCCACACTCAACTCCAGAATGCAGCGTGAACATCGCCTCTGGAGTCACGCACTGCTAGGGCCCGGAGAGCAAGAGCTCAGTGGCCGACCAGGGAGAGGGCTCTGGTCCTGGTGCCTCGGATGTAAGATTCCACTGGTTTTCAAGTGTTGAGCTTTGCTTTGTTTGTACTTATGAAAAAATAAAGTTACAGCTTTTAAGTTTCTGTCTTTGGTATATAACATAGTTCGCCTTATCACAGAATATTGTGAAACACATTTGCTGCTTGGATAGCGTCAATTTAATCATGAATTTTACTCTTTTTTTCCCTTTTCCCAGAAGACTTGAGATAAGAGTTAAGTATAAAAAGCTCTGAGTGCTGTCAATTCTTGAAGCTGCAGAACAGGCTGTAGGTAGCCTGCATTTTAAGTCTTAACAATACAGTCCTAACTTCTTTCATGAATGTCAAATAATTCTGACTCTTTTTACCAGACCATCGCTTGATTGCACTGCTAGTTTTCTTGAATTAAAGAGCAAGGTGACAACAGCCAAAATAGGAAAAGAAGAAACCTTTAGGGTAGAAGATAAAGACCAGCATATATATGAAATTAAATGCAAGCATGCACTCAACTGTTTGGCCTCTTACCCCCAGTGGGGCTGGAAAGGCCCAGGGGGCGTTAGCCACCCAGATCACTTATGTAAAGTTGAAAACGTGAAGAGTAGTGAAGAAAGTTCCGGCAGAGTATGGCTACACAACAATGCGAATGTACTTAAAACCACTGAACTGTGAACTTTAAAAAAATGGGGTTAAAGAGGTTAAATTTTGTTATGTGTATTTTACCACAATAAAATCTTAAATAAATAAATAAATAAATACGCACACAGTGCAGAGGCAGGTAGGAAGCCTGCCTGTGTAGGATGGAGCAGGAAAACAGTAAGGACTGTGCCCTGGGGTTATGGAGTTTGCACTTGAGTTCCAGAACTCTAAGAGAATATGTGTCATTTTAAGCCCCAAGTTTGTAGTATTTGTTGCAGAAGCCACAGGAAATTAACACACCTGCTAAGGAAAAGCTTGTCCCTGTCTGTGTCTGTCTGCACTCCCACCCACGTGTGAAGAATAGGACTATGACGTGGTTGGTGCAATTTAATCCGTAATAGGGTGGGTTCATCACTGATCCAGTACCTCCTCCTCAATCCTGTGTACCTAAGCACTCCTTCTCTGTGGTTCATTGGGTATGATCAGATTAAGGGGAATAATATATACTAATTTAACCAACAAGAGATATAAACCACAACACCCATTTATTGGTTTATTCATGGAAATATAAACACTAAATGCATCAGTTTACTCAGATTAGCAGCTCAATGCAGATTTGTCTTGCCTGGGAAATGTAAAGTCAAAATGAAGGCTACTGCTAACTCGTCTTGAAGGCTGATGCATATCCTGGAGCATTAATCTGCTCCATGGATTAGACCAGGGTCCCCAACCCCATCCTGTTAGGAACTGGGCTGGAAGAAAAGCTCACCTGAGCTCCCCCTCCAACCCCCCCAGCCCCCATCACTCCCCACCACCTTCCACAAAACTGGTCCGTGGTGCCAAAAAGGTTGGGGAACACTGGATTAGAACATTTACATTAGTCAGACAGGTCCCCCTTCTCCTGACTTTGCTAGGACATTCTGGCAAATTCCAACTTGTAGTCACAACTTTTCTAAGAGTCCTTGAAGGTCATCCTAGTGCTGTTTTGGCAATATTCCTTCAGATGTGCTATAAGGATCAAATATTTTTTTAGGTACCTCCTTAGAGACCTGGGCTGTCTTCTCACCAGGAACACATTCACACGCCAACTCCTCATTCATTCACTGATTCGTTCAAGAAACATCTGATATTTACTAAGTGCTAGACATTGTACTAGGCTGTGAGACACAAAGACAAGATGAAAGCCTCATTTTCCAGGAATCTTCTGAGTTTCTGGTGATTAAAAGATGCTGTGTTATTTCTTCTGTAGATAACTAATCTTCGTTTCCTGCGATTTCATGAACTTCATTTTTGCAGGATACTATTTCCTGATCCTCATCAAATTTAGGAATGGTCCAATTGAGGGATGATAAACTAGTCAGTTCAGTGAAAAAGCCCACTATTCCGACAATACTATTTGACTAGTTTCTCTAAGTATCAACATTTCCCTAATCTCGTGTGACAAAGGGCCCAGCGTTTAAACACTTCCTGGTGTCAACATTCCTACAGAACGAAGCGGGGGTGGGGACAGTGCCATTTGTCAAGAGCTGTGTGCTGGGTGGTCCCTTCCATCTCCTAGTTTTATTTAATGGTGACTCATGTTGTCATTAAGAGCAACTGTGTTCTAATTTTTTCAAGTCGAAAATTCAAAACTATTGAAAATATTATAAAGTCACAAGTATGCCATCCACTCTAGTTTACATACATAGTTCATTGCACATCTAACCACTAAACTTCTGATGATTGAACTATAGGGTTTTTCCTGCCTGGATTTTCATAGAAGGACCACATTTGATAAACATTCTTCCTTGGCTTGATAATGCTGCCAGTTAGCATTGTGGTTTGATGTTAATATCAACTAGAAACCAGTATAAACTAGGAAAAGCCAGTACAGGATTGATATTCCGTGTGACCCGGAACAAGTCGACTCACCTCCCCTGGCCTGTTTCTCTGTTTGTAAATGGTAGTTCAATCTGATGTCTTTAGTTCCCCAGTTCTAAAATACAATGGTTTATTTAGGAATCTCTGGAAAACATGACCACAAAAAGTTAATTTTGAAAAAATTTATCCAATCCATTTCAATGGATACCTTCAGAATTATTTTAGACAAATTCCCTTCGAGTAGTTTATCAAGCAGATGTCATGACTACTTATTTGCCCTTGCTCTTGCAAAGCTAACTGGTTAATGGAAGGGGGAAGCACCATTAAACGTAGCTACACACACAACCCACAGCTACTTTTGTAAAACAACTTTTTAATTTCCATTTTCTGTTTACAAAAAGGCAAAGAGAACAGGGAGTGAGAGGCAGGAGTAAAAACTGCTCAGCCCCAGAGCCTACAAGGTGGGGTCAGACCGCTCTTCCCGGACATTACTGGTAACAGCAAAGAACCAAAGGAAATCCAAGTGTGGATCATGAACTTATGTTAACAAGATCAGTCCATCAGGCAGAGTCAGATGATCTGTCAAGTCCATGTCTGTGAAGAGAAAAAAGGCCCGAGTCTGCCTAATGAGGCCTTGGCTCCGGGTGGGCTCTGGCCTGCCTCCTGTAGGACCTGGGCGGCTGTCTCCAGGGTGTGTAGGGGCCAGGAGGTACATTCCTGGGAAAACCCCGGTGAACCACAGGGGCCGGCTGCTGATAATAGGGTGTGGGTCTAGGGACCCTCGGAGGCTGGGGATCAAACATAAATTCAGCTTTGAAATCAAATCCTCTCTGGGTAGATGAGGGGACATCTGAATGGAGATGGTTAAAGAACTGACCGGACTGGAAAGGCTGGTCTTGGGGATGCGGCAAGAGGTGGGGGCTTACTGCTGGGTGACAGGTAATGGGAAGAGGCTGTGGGGGCAGGGGTCGGGGCAGGGGTAGGTGGGGAGCTGGGAAAGGGAGCAGGGGGCGCTGCCTGGGAGAAAATGATGGAGATGGTAATAAGGCCTGTTGTTTCCTGCTGGTCTGGGACTGTTGTCTCTCAACGCCCTGTCCAGGTCCACTCCTGATCAACTGGCTCACAGGTTGGCGGCAGGGCAGATCCACACCCCAGGCATCAGCCATGTGGGCCAACAGTAGCTGGGAGAGGTGTCGGTGCGCCCGCTGGTCCCAATGTACCCCATCGCCCTGGCGGTACAATTCTGCATGGCGAAAGTGGAAGTGCAAATCCAACACATCAAAATTGTGCTTCTGTGCCTCGATGAAGCTGTAGAAGTTGGCTTCAATCACCTTTTTTTTCAGATCCAAGGACAAGGACGACTGCTTCCTCGGGAGGAAGCCCCCAGTGATCTTCTCACCCACGGGCATGGCTGTGTTCCACACCAGGAGGCATGACTCTGGCAGCACCTCGTCCAGGTGCCTGAACAGGTTCTCTAGGTTCTTCCGGTAGCTGCTAAAGGAATCCTTCCCATACCTGGAGATGTCCCAGAGACAGGAGTTAATGATGACCACGTCCGGGGTATGCTCATAGGACTGCAGCTCTTTCAAGATGTCTTGGACATAGACGTTGTACACACGGGTGAGGAAGTAGAAGCGCACCAGATGGTGGTTGGTGCAGAACTCCCGGACTTCACGGTAGTTGGTGCCGTTGTGCATGGTAGCCTTCTGGCCTCCATTCACCAGCTTGTCCTGTTCGAAGGTCAGCTCCCCCTTGACCTTGAGCTGCCTGCAGGTGAGCAGGCAATCTTTCTGCAGCAGGAGCACCAGGTCCTTGTACACAGACCTCTGGACAGAGTCTCCCAGGATGACGACAAACTTGTTGTGGAGCAGCTGCTGCACTTCGCAGGACAGCAGGTGGGCCATGATGCCTAGGTCAAGTGCCTAGCTCCTTCCTCTGCACGTGGGTGGGTCTGCAGATAGCTAGGACAGAAGAAAAGAGCAGCTGGGAGGAACGAGCAGCCTGTGCAGGCAGGCCCTCTGTGTGGTTAAGACTCAGGACCAGGGATGAAGTTTTGGCCTGGGAAACCCTCAGGGCAGAAGTCCACCATGATGAGGCTGAGAGTGAGGAGAAAGAGCAAGAAGGGGGCCTGGAGTTAGAAGCCCCGCTTGGCCTGGCCTTAACTTGGGCTGGGACTTGACCTCTGAACTGCCTGTGGCTGCTCTTAGAGGCCCAGGTTCCACCTTGTCAGCAGGGGCCAACCCGGCCTGCCCTCCCCCGCCAGCAGTGCAAAGGGCCACTGGGAAGGCCGCCCAGATGTCTGACAAATGGAAAATGGTTAGGTTAACTTTGCAGCTGCTTACCATTGAGTGTGAGTAAGCAAAACCGTGGAAATGTCTGTGTATGCTAAGAGGAGGAAGTCACAGACCATATGTGTGCCCCGTATCACTGAAACTACATGAAATAGATAACAGTGAAAGAAAACATGCAGAAGCAGAGTTTTTAATAGTAGGAGAATGGATGAATCACTTTTCCCATTTTTTGTAAATATTTTATATGATCTCATATTACTTAATAACTTAAGAAGAATTCAAATGGAAAGCAACATAAAGTAAGAGTATCTGTACCGATAGGTCTTATACAAAATAACCTTGGGCCTGGCTGGTGTGGCTCAGTAGATTGACTGCCGGCCTGTGAACCAAAGGGTTGCTGGATCGATTAATTCCCAGTCAGGGCACATGCCTGGGTTGCAGGCCAGGTCCCCAGTGCGGGGCGTGCAAGAGGCAACCACACATTAATGTTTCTCTCCCTCCTGTTTCTCTTTTCCTCTCTAAAAATAAAGAAAATCTTTTAAAAAGAGAGAAATAACATTGGAAATAGCTGATGTGTGTTTCTGCTATAATACTCTTTGCTTTCCATTTGAAAATCAGAACATGTTACCCCCAAGTATGCCCTTTGGCATAAGGATGATTCCAAGCTGAAGGCAACTAAGAATCAACAGATGCAGGGAGAGTTCTCTGCACTACCCTCATCTGCCTAAAAGCAGTGTATAGATCCCCCTTGGAGGGAAGGTCCTTCCCCCAACCAAAGAGGAGTCAAGGAAGAAGGCAGGGAGAGGTTAACACCAAGACGAGTTTTCCTGTAGAGACCTTACCAAAATAGCCCAGATTTCCCATCAGCTTCCCCATGTAGTTGCTAGTCACTTCCCCAGTTTCTCATCCCCTTAAGCCCACCCCCTTTTTCCTTTGTTAAAATGGTATATAAACTCCTGAATGTTTCTCTGAGTTTCATTTCTTTTCTATGAACTCTAGTGCACTTAAATATTAATAAAAATTGTGTGCCTTTTCTCTGGCTAACCTGTCTCTTGTTAGTTTAATCCCAGGGCTCCAGAAATCTAACGTAAGAGGCAGAGGAAAAGTTCTTCCTCCCCAGCATATTGAATAACATGCTGAGTTGTGAAACTCATCTTCAAAACTTCGGATGAAGTTTATTTCAAGGTGCCATTTACAATCATAGGTACTGATGAATAAAAGGTAGAAACACATTTCAATACTACGAACAAATCTCAGATGAGGAGGAAGATGGCGTCCACTGCATGTACTTACAAGAAACCATTAAAATCCACTGTGGCTTGGCGCCTGCAGGCTTGTATGCATTAATAAACAGTTTAATAGGTGTGTGTGGAGAACTATTATTAAATGACACATTCAGTTTTTAAAAGCTATACTATTTGTGGTTTTAAATGGGCACAAATACAAAAGTAAAACCACAAAAATGGATAGAAAATGAGCTGCCTCAAGACAACAGAAAATATCGCCTTAATTTCCCCCCAAAGAACCTCCATTAAAAAAAAATAGCAGCACTCGGACTGGTGTGGCCCAGTTGGTTGGGTGTCGTCCTGTAAACCTAAAAATCTTGGGTTTGATTCCCAGTCAGGACACAAACCTTAAAAAACAAACACACAAAACATTGTAGCATTTAACTTGCTGTGGTGCAATGAAATAAAACTTCATTAACGAAAACTCCAAATCCCATCTGTTTACAATCATTTATTTATCCAACTCACACTAACTCCTACTAAATGGACCACATCAAGGATATAAAATGAGTCAGAATTGGTCCTTCCCTTCACGAGCAGATTAGAAATATTCATTGATAACTGTAACACAAAGTGGAGAGTGCTGAGTACCACGAAACAGGTGTCTTTGGGAACAGTATTTCTACACCCTAGACCCAAGTCTCCGAGTGCAAAGTGCTGGGGAAGCCCTCTTCCCAGTTCCCAGGGCTTCCACGCCATCCGGCCGTGCCCCTTTTGGGGTGGCACTGCGGCCGCAGGCTGTGCCTAGTCCTGCAGGGTTACTGGACACCAACTGCTGCTGTTAGAGTTCTCTCCCCGAGGTTGGCCGACCTGATAACCTACTGCTGTCTCTCTGTGCTATTTTTTAGAAGATTATTTATTTATTTGTTTTTAGAGAGAGGGGAAGTGAGGGAGAAAGGGAAAGAGAGAAACATCACTGTGTGAAACACTGATCAGTTACCTCTTGCAAAACCCAACCAGGGAACAGGCCTGTAACCCAGGCCTGTGCCCTGACTGGGAATCAAACCAGAGACCTTTCGATGGGCAGGATGATGCCCCATCTACTGAGCACACCCGCCAGGGCTCCTTCAGGGCTATTTTGCTTAAGTGGTTTAATGGATTCTTTCTCTGGATATGAAGAGCCTTAGACTTGGGCTCAACAGATGAGTCCAAACGCAGTGGGGAAGGAAGGCACTTAAGTATACTACTGGTGAGATCACTGTTCTTGAAGCCACTCGGCAGGTTTCAATCCCAACTGTTCCACGTGCCGGCTCTTAGTCCTCCGGCAAGTTATTTAGCCTTTCTCTGACTTACGTTCTTCATCTGTAGAATGGGACTTACAGTGCTCACTTCATAAATTTGATGTGAGGATTAACCATAATGTTCAGAACAATGCCTGACAAGCAGTAAGCATGGATGAGAGCTACTATGATCACTGAGCAAGTTTTGGAACACCAGGTTAACTATCTGTGAAAAGGAGACTAAGATATTTCTGCTGCCTGCCTAGCAGGGTTCTGCGAAGATCAAATGAAATGATGGAAGTGAAAGATTTTGAATAAAACAAAATTAATGTGTATTGAACGGCTACTGGATGGTAGGTGCTTTACAAATGTTATCCTATATATAGGCCAATCCTTATTTTTCACCTTTTCTAGGGAAGAATATTGACTGATGGAGCTAAAGCTTGAAACCCCCAACTCTCGAATCTGTCTCTGTGGAAACCTCCTTCAGACCAGAACCCCCTGCAGGCTAGTCTCAACCCTAAAGCGTGGCTCAGGTCAGGGGGATGAGATAGGATGAGGGTGTTCTGGTGTCTGCCTCCATGTTCAGGCAGGCAACCACTACTCTGCCTGCTCAGGAGGGGTGGTCCATGTGTACTCGGGTGTGTGTGGGGGTGGGGGGGGGTTAGTAAGGGTGGAAGTGGGGCTGCGTGTAAATAAGAGTATACTCTTTTCATCCCATTCCATAATCTCAAGCGAGAGACATGCAAAACTTTAAAAATCAAACAGCCATTTAAGAATGTACTGTGTTCTTCTGCAGTGGAACATGTAGGTAGGACTGTGGAAAAGACGGGGGAATAACCAAGAAGCACTCCAGTTAGGAAGTCCATGAAGTTCCTGATGGAGAACGCCACAATTGTAACAGGATTAACAAATCAGACACCCTCAGGACTATTGTGGGAAAGAGTCCTTTAAGCTCAGATGTCAAACATTAAAAACAAAACCAACCTAAAAAAAGGAGGGGGGATTTTGGGCGTGGGGGTGTGAGTAACGAATAATTTGAAGAGCTAAATCTTCTCTCATCTTAAAAAAAAAACAACTGTCAGTTACTTCTACATATTTTCAAAACTCTTTTCAATTAAAAAACTGAAGCAAAAAAGGGATTTGAAAACAAGCCAGTGGCTTTTTTAGGCCACACTTCTTTCCTTGCTTCAAATTTGCTCAACTTACTTATTTGTTTTGGTAGCTATTTTACAGATAGAGTGCCTCATTCGTTCTTTCCTCCACTCAGTACGGATCACCAAGAACCAGACACTGTGCGAAGTGGAGGGAGTAGGTATAAAAATGCAGTCTCTTCTCTCAAGAAGAGGGGTACAGAGCCCCGGCTGATGTGGCTCAGTGGATTGAGCACTGCCCTGCAAGCCAAAGGGTTCCCAGTTCAATTCCCAGCCAGGACACGTTCCTGTGTTGTGGGCCAGGTCCCCAGTACTGGGCACATGAGAGGTAACCACACTTCCTTCCCTCTTTTCTCCTTCTCATCCCTTAACTCTAAAAATGAATAAATAAAATATTTTTTTAAAAAAAGAGGGGTATGGAAAAGGACATGCGAAACATCAAAGGAGCTGGCAGCTGGAACCGATGTATGTACAAGAAGCGCCAAAGCCCTTGGGAAAGGTCAGGGGAGAGGAGGTATGTGGGAAGACGGCCGCAGCCCGGGATTCCAACATCCAGTGAAAACCAGTGCTGACCGAGTCTCATGATGATCCCTCAAGTCGTGATCATAGGTAGTACCGCGTTTTTGACTTTTGGATAAAGCTCTGGCAGAAATATGCATTAATAATGGCTGCTACTATAATAAATTACTTTCAAGCATCTTGCTTAGATTACTGTTTGGGGATAATTAATTTTTTAATAGTTTCATAAGCCATGACTTATAAATCATTGAGTACTGCTTTATAACTATCCCCAAACAAACACATAGCATTTGTTTTCCATAAAAATCAATGTGTTGTAGTAATTAGGCTAATTTTTTCCTTTCCTCATTGATGTTTAGTTACAGGGAGAGACACATTTAATAGGGCAGTAGCTCCAGAGAGAGAGAGGTCTTAAATCACAGAGGTAATCACTAACAATTAGGCTGTTGTTCCAATTGATCAGTTGTAGGAAGTCCTTGTAACTGGTTTAA